GGACTGGGCCACTTATTTAGAAATCCCTTGTCGAATGCCCGTGAGATTTCAAGATCCTAGAGGGGGTCTTCCTGTTCCATTTCATTACCAGGTAAGTGGCACATCTTGATTTTTGGACTTCTCTGTAACAGCCCCTGAAAATACATAGTGAATGGCAGGTAGATGGATGCCAGGACCAGCTTGTAGTTCAGAGAACACCTCCAGATACCCGACCTGCCAACCATGCACCTGACAGTAAGTCTAATAAAGTGGATCAGAGTCAAGGTGACATGATGTCAGCTGTGAGCTCTGTGACCTTGAGTAAACTGCTTAACTGCACCAAGTCCTATCTGCAATGTGGGGGATAATCACTAATATGCCCACTGCGATATTGCAAAGATTCAATGGGATTCTGCTTGCCATGTCTCTATCCTAACCCATGGAGAATCACCACCATTGTGATGTCTATTAAACTAGTGTGGTTTGGTAAAAGGAGCACAGGCTTTGGCCCTGAGGACACAGGTTCAAAGCCCACTTCCCCACTTGTTAGCTATGTGACAGATAGTGCCAATGAACTGCTTAAGCTTGTCTTCACATCTGTAAAGTTGGGCCCAGGATTCTGACTTCCAAATGTAGTTTTAAGGCAAAAAGAGCAAGTGTATAACATATACAGTAGCTGGCAGCAGCAGCACAGGTAAAGTGAGTGAAATAGATTAAACAACTAAGCAGGATAGTTATGACTGTGCCAGCCAACTGTTACCATTCAGGGATCTAGATATGTGAGTCTATTGTTGGGCATATTTGGTTTGTTTGTAAGAAAAACAAGAAATTTTAATTTTCATAGGAAATGAATCAGTTTTTAAATAATGGCAAACCATTAGAAGTTTTCCAGGTAACATTGTGTAGATCACTGTGATAGGTCAATTCGCAGTTGTTTTCTCATACCTTTTGCCACGCAACACTCCACTGAAGTTGGGTTTGTTCTTGTGACTGCTTTGGCCAATGCATGTAGCATAAGTAGATGTGCATATGTGATTTGACTTATCACCTTTCACTTCCCCAGAATCTGCATGGGTGGTTCAGTGGTAGAATTCTCGCCTGTCACTTCCCCAGAATCTGCCAAGAGAAGAGCATGCCCTGGAGAGCCACCATTCCAGAAAAAGATGCAAGGGACAGATCTGAAGCAGAGTTGCCCCTGGTGACCCACAGTCCCATGAGTGAGAAAAGAAAATGTTTGTTGTCAGAGGCTGCTAGGATTTAGAGCGTCACAAAGCAAAAAACCCAGCTCATGTGCCAACCTTGGTTTCCAAGTTTGAGACCATCTAGGTAAAGCAAGTGACTGACATACAATGTGCATGTAATAAATGGTTGCCCTTAGGATTATTCTGGGTCTGACTCATCTCCTGGGGTTTCTATAATAGAAGTTAGGCTTAGGCCAATGTTTGTAAGATGTTTGTTTTGTGCTGATTTGACTTCTGAGAAACTTGAATACATCCATCTCTACATACATCACTCACCTTATTATTTACGTATAGGGATAACCATCACCTGTGTTGTGCCATAGCATTACACACTGTTTGTAACAGGACAATGAGTGGTAAACAGTGGTTTTAAGTTTTCTTATTTGGGAGTTTCTCACTGTATCTATTCTACCAACATGCATGATAGATAGAATTTAGATATGGAAGTTACAGTGGAAATGATTAGATTGCTCACACTGAGAAAATTCTAGTGAGACAGTGAGGGATAATCAACAATAACTTGTAAGGAAAGTGCTAAGGTAGAAACAAGAACTAAGTGGTCTTGAGCCTCAGAGAATGGACTCTTATCAGAGCTGGGAAGGCACCTCAGGGTATGTGAGAATCAAGGGGAGCTGTTAAATGAGTAGCTTTGGTTATGTACAAAGGTGCGGTCAGCATTCCAATAGGGGGAAAAACATGCAAAGACACATGAGATGTGAGCACTTGGCATGTTCAGAACATGAGCAGGAATTTAGGTAGATGGAGAATCAGGTTCCAGGGACTAAAGTTACAACTGTGGAGGGCAAGGACCAGATGTAGACTTGGTTGGATTTTGTAGATATTTGTTTCCAAAGGTAGCCACCACAATTCCTCCCCTTGCTAGGCGTTATGCCACTTGTCCATCAAGGAGGAGTCCATGCCTCTGGGCCTTGAATGCAGGCTGCTTTGATGGACAGCACCGAGACACAGTGACACTGCATTAGGTCCAGGCACTGGCAAGTTAGGTCTCTCCATCCCTGGGATGCTGGCTCTTAGAACATTCCCTCTCAGAACCCACCCCTCATTCTGGGAGAGCCCCACAGAGAAACTATGGGAAGGCACTGTGGTCCATGGCCTTGGTTAAGCTCCTGCCCAACAGCCAACAAAGCAAGTGCACCGCCACAATGGATGTTCAGCCCAGATATACCTCTGAGGACTCCATCCCCAGCAGCATCTGAGCCCCAAAGAGTAGGCCATCCAGCAGAAACCAATGAGCTCTCTGAAGGGTAACTGATAATAATAAACTGTCCTCCTGAGTCTCTAACTGTGGGACAGTTATGCTATACAACAATGGGTAATGGAAACAGGTGTCAAACACATTGCCCTAGGTATCTCTGCAGTGACTGCATATGGTAACTTTAAAGAATTGATCAAAGAAAATCTAAAATGGTGAGGTGGGAATGGGGATAAATTGGAAATTCTCTTCCAAGTGGGTAGCAGTATCCCTGTGTTTCCTTTGGCATTGTTGCTATTTACCATACATTTTCCTCAGGAAGCAGTGTGATGTTCTAGAAGGAATCCAGACTTTGTTGTCAAGGGAGATCCAAACTAAAGCCTCAACTATGTTGCCCATGAGCTATGAGATGGGGTAAGTCACCCAATGGGATAGACTGTGTCCCGCCCAGATATCCTCTTTGGGACCAGCTTCTCTGAAATGCTATGACTGTTGCCTCCTTGTTGGCCTTCTCTCTGCAGAAATGCACAATCACCCACACACTCTGGGGATGGCCCAGCCAGGGACTGACTGGTCCAGAGTCACAAGAGTCTGATACCTCTGCAGTTAGGTCTATGCTCCTAGCCCTGCCCCTATGGCCCAGGCAGAAGACTACCCAAGTCCACAGCTTTTCTAGGCTCCTTCTCCTTCTTTACTCTGCCCCCTTAACTCCCTTAAATATTTTTCTCCCTGAAGAACAAGCCCTTAGTAAGTCTCATATCCTAGAATCCTGGTCTCAGGCTGTTTCTGGAAATACCAACCCAAGACACACACCTTCCCTTCACTTGTATTTTCCAATACCCCTTCTCCAGAATTCAGGAATGATAAATTAAAACCGCCTGGAACTCAATACACAGCCAATAAATACTAATAGGCTTCTTCTCTCATCTTCCTCATTGGTACAAAGTGGAAAATACAAGGAAAGCTCTTTTAACAAAAATGTCCTCCAGTACATTTTCCATATTGTCTGCTTAGCAAGTCTTTTAGGAAAAAGGGGAATATCCATGCCTTTTTGTGGAGTTGGGAGGATTAGCTGAAATAGGGTTGGTTGTTGGGTTCAGGGTAAGCGCTCTGCCTCTGGAAGCCACTGCCCTTCCATTGGGCCCCTCCAGGGGCACAGGTGGGCCCTTCCCTTCTCATTGGTGTGCCTTCAGTGGCACAGTGCCCCACATTGAAAAGCACTCTTGCATCTTCCCAATGCAGTGGGCAGGGAAACAAACAAACAAACAGACTTTATCCAAGATGGCACGGGTTTTCTAACTTCACTCCACGTGGAGCTTGGGCAATGAACACAGCTCAGTGCTTCTCACAATTGTAGGCAGACTCCTCTGACCGACTCAGAAACAGCTAGACTCACCACACTGGTCATTAACACAGTTTATTATTGGCACACTTATCAGTAAAGCATACATAAAATACAGCTGTTTTATAACACACGGAGCCACTGTGTCTTTACATGTGTAGAGGAACATATTAATATGCAAATGGAAAAATTAGTTCTCTTATAAAGTTTCACATAAATACACTGGCATTGCCCCCAAAGGGAAAAAAAAAGAAAAACCCATAAAAGAACCAGGCGAGGGCTTTACAAATTATTATACAAGCAATATATGATGAAAAGAAACAACGGTCAACTCAGATACAATAAAAAAACAAAACAAAACACAAAGGAGTTTCAGATTTATTAAACTGCACACAAAAGGAATGGATTACATGGCTTGAAAATATTTGGATCAACAGCAATTTTACAAATGCATACATTCTCAAGGGGCCAAGTGTCGTTCTTACATAAAAATCTGCTGTGGTGACTTCGATGACACAAAGACATTTCTTGTTTCAGCACTCAGGCTCAATTGCACCAACTCGGGCTCAGTTGCACCAACATGGGCTGGAGAACCAATTGGTATTAGCTCACCCATCAATTATCCTGCTGGGCCCTCTTAGCTGTTACCCAATGAAAGAAAAAGTGAAGGAAAAAACACACCAAAAAGGTACATTTAAATCATTTTCCCAAAGTGGGTATTTTTCTTTTCTTTTCTTTTTTTACTGAAACAAGAAACTCTCAGATGCAAGTCAAAAAGCAGAAAATATTTTACAATAGTAAAAAGTCATCTGTGGTTCGGTTCGGCATATAACGGGATCCTGAGCACTGAGGGCATATTGACGAGGTGGCCTTCGTCTGATGCGGGGGGGAAAAGGAAATGAACAAACACGTGGTGGACACCGTGCCGGGAGAAGCGTTAGCGTCTGCTCTTGCGTTAAATACGATCAGTGCCAGTATCTATGTTACCCGTGAAGGCCTCCGGGGGAGGGTCATGGACGTTTATTTGGAACAATCCTCTCAGTTACAAAAGAAACAAAAGGCAAAAGGAAAAGAAAGCAACTCAGATCATTGTGGTTGAGAAATAGGAATTGGCGTGAGAACGTTTGTTATGTCTCCTCCTTCCTCTCCTGTGAATAGTGATCTGACACAGCAAGTGTCACCCACGGGCCTATGGACGGCGGATCCAGGGCTGGTCAGGTCAGCCTTACTGGGAAGCCTGGGGCGGGGGGTTTTCTGATTTGGTCTCTTGAGTGCCGGGAGGCTTACTGTTCCACGGGCTGCTGTTTCCCAGGGCAGGCGAATTGTTGAAGTCTTCCTCGTCGTCCATGCCGTTGGCCGCATCATACTGCGTGTTTTCTAATCTAGTGATTAGCCTTTCGTCCTCGTCCCCAAACTCACCTCCCATCAGAGTTGGCTCTCCTACCACCATCACATCCTGTGAACAGCAGCTGACATTATTACAGGGAAACCTTGGGGGAGAGAAGCTCAGCCTAAGACACTAGCGGGAGGAGCTGGGGGACCTGGGACAGACACACTGGTGGGCTGTACACAACGGGGGTCAGGTCTCAGTGTCGGGGGGCCGAGATGCATATCTGATCTCTACAGGAAATTAACATCGCCTCCTGACGTGTAACAACCACGCGAGTTTATGTCCTTAGTGCGCAGCCTGACACCGGAGAGCGAGCAATGCTAGCAATCTGCAGAAATAAAAAAATGGATTTTTCAAAATTAAAAAAATCCACGCTTTTCACTTGCTGACGCTGGGGACTTTTGAGAGGGCGGTGGAACCTTCTGTGGGGTCGGTACCTCGGAAAATCCGCCACTTCCGCTCAGGGCCTCTGAAGGAGGCCTTTTGGAAATTTGGCAGGAAGATCGGTCGGATGCAATTCTGCAATAGTCACCCAACCCATTCCAAATGGCGTTTTCTCTGTCCTGAGGACAGTGTATGCCTTCATGGGAGATGGAATCTCTCTTTTCTCTACTCAGCCAGGCCCTTTGAATGCAGCCAATATCCTTGACATTCTGCTACTTAATTATGGTAATTAATTTAGGTAAAGTTTTCGATAAAAACAATGTTCACACTGATTTGACAATTTGCATAGCTAATTAAGTCATTAGCAAAAACTTGCTGATTGCCAACCAGCCCCGAATTTACCATCTGTTATTTCATGGTGCCTGTCACCTATCCCTGTACAGGCAACTCTGCCACCAATCTGGGCAGTGAAGAGAACCGCTCTGGCCAGCTGGTGCCATACAAGGAAGATGAAGAGTGCTAATTGCAATTACACTGATGAAGCTGGTCATCATCAGGAATGGGAGCGTGCAGGAAGGCTCCATGGAATCCCTCCTTTAAGTACCAATTGTCCTTCCATGCAGATAAGGGAGCCACCTACTGCAGCCGGGGGCATCATGGAGGCCGCTGATGGAGAGGCACGAGGGTGGGGCGAAGGGCACATGCATAGGGCACAGTTCCAGCCTCTTTGTTCAAAGGGGACCCTCTGGGGCTGGTGGGTGACCTGGCCATGGGACGGGACACCGCCAGGGGGTGACTGCTGGGCAGGCTCTGAGCAATAGTCTCCTTAAAAGGGCAGTGACTCCAGCTGCTGTCAGTTTCTGAGAGGCCGGGAAAGGCAGGACTGGGCCAGATGCTTTTGAGATGTCAGGGTGCATTCCCTGAGAGGGAAACGGAGGTCTGTTTGATGAAATGCCTTGACAACTGGGCAACGATTTTCTTCATTGGAGCAAGAGAGGGCTTTCCTGGGCAGGCCAGTAGAATATTGCCTATCTGGCCAGGGGAAGGTGTAGGGGAAGGCTCAGATTGTTGAAGATGCCAATGAAACAAATCCCTTAATTACCCCTGGATTATCTTGGAATGGAAGATCTTGTTTGATTGATGGGTTGACTGCCCCAGAACTATGGGGAGATAATCAATGGGCTTCTACACTGTGTTTTCTGGCCAATCACTCCCGTGATTTGATAAGAATGATTATAAAGAGAAATGTCTAAAGTATACACTGGGTACACACAGCCATGTAGGTTCTGGCAGGATAATCAAGTGTGCGCTTCCAAGGACACACTTATGGCACTATACCGACATGTTAGGAGACTCAGGAGGACTCTTGAGGTGGGACCCAAAAAGACACAGAGTAAGATTGGCAAGAAAGCTGACACGGTTTTAGGTGACAACGTTATCTGGTTAGCCAGGGCAGCTGCCAGATGACCCACTGGGGGTGTTCAGGATGAAAAGATGCCCCTTAGTTACAGGCAGGTAGGAAAAGGCACTTATGATCAGGAGAATGGTAGAGAGAATAGGGCAAGACCAGGCAGAGAATGAAATGAGGGGTAACCTCATTTCATGACTTCACATGCAGCGCGCTTTGAAGGGCTTGCAAAATGCATGTGTGAGGTGTCACTGGGCAAGAGAAAAATGTTAGAACCCACCAGGTGGGTGTGCATTAGTACTGTGAGTGTGAGGTTATCAAGAGAGGCTTGTGGGGGGTGGGGGGGGAGCGGGTAAGAAAGCATAACTGGAAAAGCAGAGAAAAATAAGAAGCCAAGTTCAACGTGATATTAGGAAAAGAGTTCCCAACACTCCAGATGCCTTCATTGTAACTGAAAATAACAGCCATTCAAGAAAAGGACTATGAAAATAGTGATTTGAATCACTTGAAATGGGGCTGATAGAGGCGTGCAGTGTTTGATGGATCTCTGTTCGAAGAACAGCTGGCAAAGATGCCCAGCCACAGATATTTTTAAGCGGTCTGAATGTCAGAGATGCCACTGCTGCCTTACTGATTGCAAGAAATAGCCTTAGCCGGATACATATCACATGTGCACGTGTGTGTGTGATATGAATAGACGGCAAGCTCTAGAAGGGGCCACTTAGGCACACGTTGCACCCTGGCTTCTCTAAACCTCTACATGAGGATAGTGGTTCTCTACTCAAGCCATCCTGATCAGTTATCCTCATGCAAAGTAAACGGAGACATTCGGCATGTTCTGGGCGGCCTCAAACTAGGGGATGTTGGCATCATTCTTCTCACCCCTCCACCTCTTTAAAAATCCCCCCCCAACATTCAGCAAGAGTTGCATTTCCTTCCCATCTCTGCTATCTGTGTCCCCCCGGGAGGCAGAACTGGTCCAGCTAAGAGTCACCCATATGCCCTCGGCTCCCCACGAGGCAGACCTCTGCTCCTCGCCGGAGGCCTGGAGGTGCCACCAGCTTTTGCCCACGTCACATCTGCTCACTAATCAATCCCCCGTGCAAGGACCACCAACCTCTGAGGAGGACTGGAAGTGACTCCTTTCAGGGCCCCTCAATGCTTCTCCTTAAATTGGCCAGAAGGGGTCACTGCTGTTGAATGACACAGGTCTCCATCCCTCCCAGGGTTGAGGCTGCAGTTCGGGATGGCTCCTAGCCCCTGCTCATGGAGTGAGAAGCAGAATCCAAGGATTAAACCCTAGTCCTCTCCACACATGCCCGCTGCTGCCACAGCAGCCACGCGGACCACGGCTGTGGTCGTGGTGGCACACCGAATCTGTTCGTGCCTTTGGGCGAGGCTGCCATGTCTGCAGATTGTGCTTCTAAGCAGTAAAACTTGGTGATTTGATAGACAGGGTTACGAGACGTGGTCCCTACAAGCCAATGTTCACCATGTAACATCTATTCAATTAGAATACACACGAAGTTTGCACCTTTTCCTAACTTGGTTGCCTTCTCTGCCTCTTGTGACCTTCTGTAAGTTTTACGTAATTAAAACATCCTTAATTGCGTAGTGTGGGAATCGTACTGAAATCCTGTCCTCACTTTCCAACACATGCTTTGCTCTCACAAGGCTCAAAGGGTCTCAACTCATTAAAAATCATCTGGACACTGGTATCTTCCATTAAGATCCAGCTGTTGATTGGAGGACAGGAGCAGGATGGAGTGAAATAAACCAGGGGCTCTTTAAAGAAAAGTTGAAATGATTCTGACCAGGCCAGATTCATCAAAATACACATGGATGTCACTACTCTATAGCCTATGAATGGTTCACCAAACCCAGCCCGGGGCCTCGGAACCCGCAATGCAATGCCCTGTGAGCTGACACCAGGAGGCTGAGCAGGGGAGAGGGGACCTGTTGGCCATCCCTCAGTTAGATGTTGAGCTCTTTAATGACAGGACCATTTTTTTGTGTTTTTGTTGTTGTTGTTTGTTTGTCTTTTAATCTTGGTATTGTCAATACTTAGTATAGTGTTACTTGTTGAACTGCTCTGAATCTTGCAGTCACTGTGCCTTTTCATTTATTAGAGGAAACTAACAAATGTTAGTTCCTAAAACTAGTATTAGGTGAATAAGTTTACTTATGTGGATATTTGATTCATTTATACCGGCCATTTTCCCTATGCATTTTCCAATTTAACCCAGAGTGGGAACTGATTATTGGTACCTTCATAAAAAGACTGCTTTTTTCCTTTGATATTTTCTCCCCTGACTCTTTAGGTGGCGATAGCTCAGCTCTAAGCTCAGAGGTGTCGCTGCCATTACTTAAGGACCATTGTCTTAAAATCAAAACAGTCCTTTCTCCACAGCTGGCCACTCCCTCTAGGACCCTTTCCTTCTAAAGAATGCAAACCACACCCTCTGTGTGTGGAGGAGGGCGGGGTCCCAGCAGCCCAGGTAATTCTCAGGTAGTGATGGGCTTGGTTTCAGCTAAAGAGAACTGACTGATGGCAGGTGGGTAAGAATGGGTGGGGGACAGGTTTGAAGGGCACATTTAGAAGTGGAGATTTGCTGTGAAAGAAAGACCTATTCTCAGGATATGAAGAGTGAGGACAACAGACCAGGAGGGAGCGGGGAGCAAGGAAGAGGGAAAGAGGAACTTGTATTGGTCCAGGGAAGTAGTAAGAGATGGAGAACGTTCCCGCAGACATGATATCCAGAGGATGTCCATGAAGCACTCAGTAAGTGTCGGGACTCAACTGACAGTCAACCCCCTGCCGAGGGTGATGTGGCACAGGGGGCAGAGGGAGACAGCCCACACAGAATGGTGGGGGTGAAGGGGCAGCACATGCATAAAGGAACATGTACATTTAACGGCAATAAATGATCTCATGCTACCAGGCTGAGGAATTTGGGGGAAATTAAGCAGAAGGGACAGACGTGGGAGGGAAATGATAGAAGATGGAGAAGGGTCCTGTACACCTGGCAGGATTTGGGAACACCCCTCAGCGATCAGCTTTGGTGTTCAAAGAAGCCCCCTTCCAAGTGGCTCCTTTCCTTTGTCAAGACCCAGAAACGAAAGACAGGGGTCTAGAGGTCAAGGGAATGGAGGCCAAATCAGGGGCTGACCCCTCCGTGGGCTAGAGAAATGGGTCAAGTGAGATCCACTCAGCTGCCCTTTCAGTGGCTGCATGAATGACCAAGGTCTCAGAATGAGAGGGGCGGACATGTCGGGGAGGCCCAGTCACATTACAACAAGAAGCCTGAGTGCCAGGCGCTGCTTTCCAGGGCAGCACAGGGTCTCCGGTGATGGTGCCGGGAGTCCCTTACACACCACCAGGCCTGCCCACTAAGTGATATTTTAATTAAACCCTAAGTAACATATCTCCTGTCTGTGGCTCTGACAGCTTTTTAATTCAGGTCCCACTGCAGCACAGACTCTTAATGTGCCTTTCCAATTCCCGGTTTGCAGGGGAAGGTTTCCAGGCTAGACTTAGACTTCCCTCCCTCCCAGCTCAATCCCAGCCCTGCCTCCCCGCCCCCATCCCATCCTGCCCAGGATGTATGAGCAGCTAAAAGAGACTTGAACCAGGGCCCCTGGACTCGGAAGACAGGCAAAAGCAGGGTTTTGGGCCTAAAAGGAAAGCGAGACTTACAGGTACCTGACTGGACAGACTCAGGTTGGCGGCGGGCGTCTTTTTCTTGCTCCCGGTGCTGTTGGCAGTGTTCCCGGCGCTGCTGTTGGATGTACTGCTGGTGGAGTTTTTCCTTTTTCTCCGCTTTGTTGTCGGTTGCCGTGTGGGTTCTGCTGCAATATGGAAAATGGAAGGAGAATCAGGTCCAAGGCAACCATCAGACTCTGTCCCTCTGTGGCTGTTTTTGTAGATGGAAAAGAGTTGACTCTACATTTCCCCCCCATTTCTTTTAACTTTACAAAAAGCGAAGGGAGTCAGCTGTTGGCTGATGGTTAAGCACAAAATCTGACCTACTTCTTGGTAGCTAGATAAAATGATTTGCCTCTAATTGTTATTTCTAGTTTTATATATGCCTTTAATCTATTAATATATTTTAGGGGTGAGCTACAAATATTCCTTTGATAGTTGAATTAAAAAGACTAATACCATTACAAGATTGGGGGAAAAAATTTCCCCCCTCTGGTTAACCTTTTCTTTATAATAAAAGGAGGATTCTGGGCTCGCTAAGGGGTCTCCAAGGTGTAAAAATAGAAACTTATACTAGTGAGCCAGTGTGTGACAGCAGCACCTACTGGCCATGTGTTATATTGCAGCTCAACTCTATTACACCTTGAAATATTCAACTAAAAAGAAGAGGAAGTGCCAGTTATATCAGCCATGAATGCAAAATTGAGTGAGTTCCAAGTTAGTATGGTTCCCAAGTTCCATAGATTAGACCTTGATATTTAAAGGATGCTACTAATTTCAAAATTCCTGAAAAAACAATAACTTAGTATGAGATAGTTAGCATATCAATGAAGGAAAGCTCGATCTTTTCAAGAAAGACCTATTTAGAAATAGAAATATTTTACACCTGAAGGATAAGTAGCATCTTAATGAAAATATAGGGGACTCATGGTAATGTGTGGTAGGAGGAATATTATTTATTCATTTATTATATATTGAGCATTACTCAGTGTTTCCATATTTATTTTCTATTTTTAATGTTTACTAGTACTATGTCAAAATTATTTTATATTCATAGCACTTTATATTAACTAGGTAATAGCATAATTTTATCTTGTTTTTGAAAGACAAAGTTTTTGAAAGCCTTTTCTAGGCAGTTACTAAATAAGTTGGAAATGGCAGGTGAGAGAACCTTTTTTGCTAATTTTACTATAGACTCAATTCTGACGGAGAGAAAATAAGCCGGGGCCAATCTGAACCCAAATGCATTGTAGCATTTTGTGATTAATGATGGGGGAACTTCCTTTAAGGCTCATTACAAAGATAGCTTAGTCTATCAAGTTATTCATAATTTTTGATGAAGAAGAGGATTATGCTCCTAATTATATACCATTTCTTCTTTTATACATATTTTGTATCTTATATTCAGATATTTTTCATCAAATGGCCCAAATATCCATTTATAGAGAGCTATGGGTGCTTTTACTGAAGGTTACAAAAAGAAGGGAATAGAATTGATCATGAGGTGGAGAAGAGTTGAGTAGCATATTCTGAAGCCAAGCAAATATCCAGGTTTCCCCCGACAAGCATTTTTTTCTTTTAACCTCAAGAACTGAAATCTAATACTTCAAAATATCTATATTTTCTTCACAAAATTTGGAGGAACTATAATTTAGTAACAGAGTGATGAACTTGGGAAACATAGAAGCAATTGTGACACAGCCTTCCTTCATTGATTAATTATGAAAGTGATTTTGGCAAACTTACACCCCACATCTCATTATATACAATGGGAATAAAAATAAATACCTCATAAGGTTATAAGGTGAGGATTCAGTAGAAGGTCTGTGAGGGCTGGGACTAGTACTTTTATTCAGTGTTGTGACCTTAGTGGCTAAAGCAGTGCCTGACACCTAGTAGGAGCTCAATCATATATGAATATGATTATATATATATAGGCTAATTTACAAATTGACCAAATGGCAGAATGACCAGTTGATATGATGCACACTGATCACCATGGGGCAGACGCTCAACACAGGAACTGCCCTATGGTGGTCAGTGGGGTCAGTGCTGCTCAGTCAGAAGCCAGGCTCATAGCTGGCAAGCACATAGGTGGTAGTGGGAGCCTCTTCAGCCTCCACTGCGGGGCTAAGGACCCCTTGGTGGATATCCCCTGAGGGGTTCCAGACTGCAAGAGGGCGTAGGCAGTCTGATGGACACCTCCACCTCCTGCCCCCCTCTCCCCCCAGTGCACGAATATCATGTACTGGGCCTCTACTTGTTGAATAAATGACTGAATTAATGTATAATATAAAGGTATATATGCATATGTTGGAAAATATAAATGCTCAAAACATTAAGTAAGTAGCCCTGACCAGTTTGGCTCAGTGGATAGAGCATTGGCCTGCAGAATAAAGGGTCCTGGGTTCGATTCCAGTCAAGGGCATGTACCTTGTTTGCAGGCACATCCCCAATAGGGGATGTGCAGGAGGCAGCTGATCGATATTTCTCTCTCATTGATGTTTCTAACTCTCTATTCCCTTCCTCTCTGTAAAAAAAAAAAAAAAAAATCAATAAAATACACTTTAAAAAATTAAGTGAGTGGAATATATATATTTCTTCCATAAAGGCTTATTGGTATTGAAAGAAAAAATGAGGCCAATTGAAACTCATGCTATATATTAAAAAATTAATATTTTAGCCCAGCCAGCGTGGCTCAGTGGTTGAGTGTCGACCTATGAGGAAGTTATAGTTCAGTTCCCAGTCAGGATACATGCATGGGTTGGAGGCTCAATATCCAGTGTGGGGTGTGCAAGAGGCAGCCAATCAATGATTCTCTCTCATCATTGATGTTTCAATTTTTCTCTTCCTCTCCCTTTCTCTGAAGTCAATAAAAATATATTTTAAAAAATTAATGTTCTAGCCGAAATGGGTTTGGTTCAGTGGTAGAGTATCGGTCCGCAGACTGAAAGGTCCCAGGTTCGATTCTGGTCAGGGGCATGTATGTGGGTTGCGGGCACATCCCCAGGAGGGGGTGTGCAAGAGGCAGCTGGTCGATGTTTCTCTCTCATAGACATTTCTAGCTCTCTGTGTCTCTCCCTTCCTCTCTGTAAAAATAAATAAAATATATTAAAAAAATTAATGTTCTAAATCTGTAAAATTCTCCAAGATGGGGATGCAACTATTCTTTGTAAAATAATGCTCATTTTCTCAGCTTCTTAATATGTGCATAGTTATATCTATGTTCATTTTATATAAAACCCTTGGCCAATTACCAATGGAAGCTGACCATTATATTTTGTGATTCAGAAAGCTATATGCCTTGTATTAATAATAATTCTTTAAAAATAATTTTTAGCAAATGGATACATTTTGCTTTTATAATTTATGAGGCTGAACACATGCCTGGGAGTAAAAATGTATCAGATAGTAAGACAATGAATGATGACTTGAAGCAATAATTTCAGAATCCCAGCAGGAGACTCTATTATCTCCACTGCATTCAAGGGCTGTGAGGGGAATGGACTCTTTCATGTATTCTCTTCATGGTCAGAGTTCCCTTAAAACAGAAAAAATATTTCCTTCCTTCTCTTCTTCCTCCCTCCCTCCATTTTAATTTTACTTTTTAGATGTATTTTTATTGATTGCAGAGAGGAAGGGAAAGGGAGAGAGATAGAAACATCAATGATGAGAGAGAATCATAGGCTGCCTCCTGCATGCCCCACATTGGGAATGGAGCCAGCAACCAAGGCATGTGCCCTGACCAGGAAAGATCTGTGACCTCCTGGTTCATAGGTTGATACTCAAGCCCTGAGCCATGCTGGTAGGGCCTCCCTCCATATTTTATAATTTCTGTCATTTCATAAAAAAGTACCAGCACAACAGTAGGCCATGAGAAACCCGCAGTCTTATCCAGTGGAACAATTGAGAGCCAGGAACCCTGGGATCTGATTTCAGTGTTGCCAAAGATCTCAGTAACAGTAAATAAATCAGTTTACCTCTCTGAGTCTCAAGTCCTAGTCTGGCAAATGAGTAGATGGTGGCCGTCTCCTAAGCATGTTTGCCCTTCACCAATTTAATGCCTCTAAGTCCAAAATCATGGTCAGAATATCCCTAGTAAACCCCTTCCCTGATAAATGTATACTCACTTCCTTCCTTTTCACATCTCCTCACTCTCAGCAGAAGCCACGGAAAATACAGTTAGTGGAAGAGTGGAGAACAAGCTCATACCTGGCGGTGCCACCATCCGCTGCCACTTCTGGAACAGGCAGGTCTTCAGGCAGTCTCGTGGACTGAGGTTGTAAGTTTTATGTCTCGACATCAGTTCCTGCATTGGCTCCAGTATTACACACAACTGCAAGAAGTTCAAAGGCATGGGCATTTCACTACTTGATAATATTATTTGCAGTAAATAATGTGAGCAGCTGGAATCAATTAGGAAGCTTAAGGGTACTTTTCGTTTCTCCCCCTGGTTTTGATTTTCTCTATACACATTTGGAGGAAAAGAAACATTGCCAACATTTGATAAAACCCACTTAATTTGCTAGCATTTATAATGTCACATCATAGTTGAATGTGATACACACACACACACACACACACACACACACACACACACAGTCTGTCCAGACAGTTGGGGGGATATAGGCAATTCTATTCTGAAATCAAGTGATTCTCTCCTGTTAAAGAAAAAAGCTCTCTGCCTTGTAGCACAGCAGGCTCCGATTTCTACTCTGTTGCTGTCCCTGTTTGTAAAACCACCCAGTGTGAGTGACAATGTTAGTTTATGGAGATTTTGTGGCCACCTTTGAAATTCGAAAGAACACAATGGCAACCACAGATCCTGTTTTTGATCCTAATCCTTACAAAGGCCCATGATGAGTACTAATTTCTTCATGCGCTCATTTGTATTTTACACATGACGGTAATGCCAGTAACATGTGCTGGCATTTGTTCAGGGTGGCAGCTTTCTCAGTGGTTCTGCACACACGCCTGGTCCCCTCTGGTTAGATTTTTTTTTCAGCTTTCCTCTAGTCCAAGATATCTGATGACAAAGATTAATGAGTGAAACAAGGAGGTAAATCCATTTCGATTGCCTTGGACTTTCTGAATTCCTTCTCAGTTAGAAGCTTATTGGAATACCACTGCATTGAGAGTATCTAAGAGGAGAGAGACCAGGACTTGGCATGAGGCCTCCGTGGCTGCTGAGATGGAGTGATACAAACATTGGCAATGCGCCCGCCCATGTGGAAGAACCACATTTTAGGAAAGACACACCTGCAATCTCCACACTCATTGACCCTCTCTACTCCTTTCCCTTCTGCCATTCTTCACCTTGAACACTGCCTTAGAGGCCCCATTGCTTTTTTTCTGCTGGATTTTCTCTCCCTGGAGTTCTTCCTCCCTCTTCCCGCTTAGCGCCATTTCACCTTGAATATGAAGTTACTTCTCCCCCAGCCACTGACACTGGGACCAAACAGAGTGAAGGATTCCACAGTCACCTCTACAAATCAAGCTAGGATGGATTTTCTATCCAAGAAGAACCACTCCTAGATTCAGACAGGGTTAGACAAGGTTTGCATCTAATCTAGGAGAATAAGAAACACTTTCCGAGAGAAAGTCTAAGGACTGGGGACACATATTTTTTTTTAAATGAAAAACAAATAAAATTTAAAAAGATTTCTAAACCGTTTCCTTTTAGTCTAAGAGCTAATGATGGATAGAAAGCTCTGGGGTGGAGTGGAACAACCATGGACTGGGAAGCCAAGAGGTCTCCGTGTAGATTTTGACTCTGTCATGAGGTGTGTGTCTTTGGGTGACCACCCAGTAGGGCTGGGTGTCAGTTTCATCTGCAAAACAATTCCCACCTTGATGTTGTTGTGAGAATTTGAGATGATGTGTCCAACAAATAGCAAACATTAGGATTATGTATTTGCAAGCACAGCACTGATTACAAAACAAACTCCATTTATACTACTGAAGTCAAACCATTCACTAAACTTCCTCCCAAGTGTCAGGCATTCTGTTAGGGGCAGGGACACAATGATGAGATGAACACAATCTCTGTCCTTCAAATGTGCCAAGCTCCCTTCGCAAGACGTAAGGCCACCAAGAACAAATAATATCCAGTGTTTACACTTCACAGGTCTCAAGACCTAGGAGCATTGGACATGCTAGGAAATGGGAGAGCCGCATTTAGTATTCTGAGAACCCATGAGCTCACAATCTTTCTTGTTCTCGGGGTCTTTCCTCTCTGGATTTGGGGCAACACTTTCCTTTCAGATGCTAATCCCAAGGATTTATTCTTTCTCCTTTAATGTAAAAATATCTTTCCATGGCTCTAACCCAGCCCAAAGGAATTGACATCTCTGAATACTAATCAGGAATCCCCAATCCTCTCCTCCCAGTGGAGGGTTCTGGCCTAGGGGTAAGGGGTGGAGGGCAGTTCTCCCCTTTCTCACATATGCAGAGCCCTCAGCGTCCTGCTGTGGAGCTGGTGGTTTTGCTGGGCTGCATGCTGTAGGTGGCAGAATGCACTCAGACAAGAGCCTGCCTCCTCTGGCAGCAGGCCAGGGCATCTTGGCAGCAGCCAAGGCCTGGGGCATTATGAAATGAGATCAGGAAGACGGCTGGGGGAGTGGGTTTGCACAATCACTAGCCAAGTCCTCCTGGAGCCAGGATTCCTGGTCTCCCAGAGGTCTCAGGTCTCCTGGAGAATCTGGTGAAGGCTCTGCAGCCTGTTTTTTCAACTATGTACAAAAATATTTGCAGGTTTACAAACCCTCTTATACCCCTATCCATTGACTCCAGGTAAAGAGTCCCTGGTTAGTCATAAATATGAACCAGGCAACAATATACACCTTTTCCCCCCTGAGACATACACCCCCTCCCCAGCCCAACACATATAAATGAAACTCAATATAAAAACACGGGATTCTCTAATTGTGAAGAACAATTTTATCTGCAAAGTTGGGCCTGCTGCAAAGTTCCCACTGACCAAATCCCTTTGCCTGAAAAGAAAGGCCACAGACCGTGTCACAGCCTATACAGCAGCCTTCCGGCATGGCTGCCATTCAGTTCAGTCTCTTCCCAAGGTGGGTGGAGGATAAGAGGAGGAAACTAGGGCATTGGGAGCCAGCAAGCCCTGGTCTCTTGGATATGAAGCCTGAATGTATAGTTCCTGCCAGGTCTAGCTAGGACCCCAACAAAGCCATGGCTCACCTTTGCATAACTCCTGTGCTGTCTTTCTGCAGACTTTGTGAGGGTTTTAGGCTCCCCTTATGCCTCTGATGTCTTTTTTTTCCTGGGATTCTTGCCTCAGCATTGACTCTTTGGGTGTGGGACCAAAATCTGTATCCATAATAGTGACTTGCTGAGTGAGTGTGGAAGGATAGATGGATAATAGATATCTAACTAGATTAACAGCAAGGAGTCATTTGCTAATGGCAGACAAATTAGGCATTGTCCTGTGGGCTTAGAGGTAATGAATTTGTCCATTTGATAAATAATTGATTGTCTCTGTAGGAACGCTTTGCACAAATGCACATGTACATACCCAATTACTACATGTTCTGGGTAGGCATGAAGAGCTTAGCTCAGTCCCAAGGCACCTGCCTTTTCATAGTGTAAAGGGCTTAGCAAGAAGAGATGGACAGTTTTACGTTGCTTTATTTTTATTGGACAGTTCTCCCGGAGACATTGGCCCCTCCTTAGATATCTATTCACTCTGGCTCTCCTGGCTCATCTCCTTGCCTGAACCTAAGAATTGCTGGTTCCTGTCAGAGTTGGTCCTGGCCTAAAAAAGTGATGCCCTGGGATTGGCATTTGACTAAATCCCAAACCTAGGACTTAGTCAATCTAAGTCTCATCTACTACCAAGATTTTAATTCCTTCTTTTTGGAGTGATGGATTACATCCCCTGAGCTTGAGCTGCCTTGCCTACTCTTTGTATGTGACTCACCCAGGGTTACTGTGTCAGTACCAGCTCGAGCTCATGTTCTTTCCTAGAAGACCCTGCCTCCTTCCTTGTCATATTAGCCAAGGGTTGGCAAGGAATGGCCTGTGAACCATATATGGTCATGCTAATGTAATAGCTGTTTTTGTTTGTTTGTTTGTTTGTTATAACCCCAGAGTTACATAGTTGCGACAGAGTCCATGTGGCCCACAAACCTTAAAATATTTACTATCTGGCCATTCACAGAAAGGTTATTGACCTCTGGTGTAAATTAATGCTACTCAAAGGTGGTGATTTGAAAATTATCCGTTATATTCCATTGCAAGATGAGGAGTTTGAGGCAGAATGTAATCACTGCTGCATCCATTGAGAATGTCTTGTGAAAAAAAAAGTCTGATGAACAACGTATTCAGCAATGTAGTTGATTTCTATTCCAGAGCAAGCCTGCAAACCACATTTGAGTCCCACCAATCTGACCATGAAGGTATTCTAAGGTCCAGCTCAAATCTCACATCTGTCTCTGACCTTTCCTGCCCACAGGGGTCTCTTACTTCTATAGTGTTTATTATTAAACTACGTACATTCCTGTGTTTTCATTTGCATTGGGAATTTTCCTTTCTTGTGGATTTGTTTCATCTCCTTATCTATAGCAAGTCATATTTACTTTTCTCTCCATTTTATTTAACATAATATTAGGCTTACTCAAATATTTGTTGAGTCATAACTTAATAATCACTATCTCTGCCCCTGGAGTATGTACCTGACATGTTATATCATTAACCCTCATCACCTCCGTACTCATTTTTTAAGTGTGGAAATAGACTCAAAGCATTAAGTCATCTAGAGCTGATATGAAAGAGTGTGATTCTTATAATGCATCCAAGGTTATACAGCCATTTAAAGGGCAGAGAAGAGGTTCACAGTCAAGTTTGCCTGGTTCTAATTCTGTGATCTTAACTCCTGACTGCTCAGTTGTCTACCTTTCTAAACCCAAGTGATTAAATGGTTGCTGAGCCCAGCAAGTATTGCTCAGTGGTCGAGTATCGACCTAAGACCAGGTTGTGAGCTCACAACCCAGGCATGTGCCTGACAAGGAATCTAACCATGACCTCCTGGTCCAGAAGGGGGTGTGCAGGAGGCAGTTGATCAATGTCTCTCTTATCATTGATGTTTCCATCTTTCCCTCTTCCTTGCTCTCTAAAATCAATAAAAAATATGTATTAAAAAATGACTCCTGAGATGCCAAATTCAAAGACTTTCACTGTTTTTTGTATTGCTCCTTGTGTGGTATTGATATGTATACAGAGGGGCATGTCCTCGGCTAAGATTTTCAGTCTCTCAGAATCTCAGTGTCCTCATCTGTAAAATGGAGGTAATGATACTTATCTGTGATGGTTTAA